GACCATTGACTAGGGAGCTAGAATTGGCTAGAGATATGTCTTCAAAAGCTGTAACTAAGACAAACAACCCACATATAAAAACAAGCAGAAAGATCTCAAATAAACAACTTAAGATTTCGGCTTAGAGCACTAGACAAACAAGAACAAACAAATCCCAACTTAGCAGGCTTCCAGAAGCAGATCCCGAGTACAGAGTGGAAATGGATGGAAGAGAAATGAAACTGAAACAAGATCAATGAAGAGCTGATTCTTCAAAAAGACAAAATTGACAAACTATTACCAAAGTGAGAGAAAAATAAGATCAGAAAGATGGAGACATTTCCACTGACAGGCAGAAGTGCAAGAAGGTCATTCATTGCAGGCTATGGAAGCTTTGCACAGCCTGTTTCATTGCCTAGAAGGAAGGGGTATGTCCTTGAACACAGACCCCTACCTGAAGTTCAGTCTCCAAGAAATGGGAAGCCCGAACTGACAGCAGGTAACGAGATCAATAATAAGGAGTCCAGTGACAGGAAATCCAGACCTCACAGCTACTCTGCCATGTTCTACCTAACAAAGAGCCATTGCCATGTTCCCTGCAGTTGCAACAAAAAGAACCTAGAGACACTTCCCTAGAGAAGATACACAAATGGCTGCGTCCTCCACGACAAGGTGTCCGGCACCAGGAACCCTCCTGGAAATGGGGGGCAGAACCATGAAAGACGGAAACCCTTGCAGGTTGGCTGCTTTTAAAGACCAAGGCTGGAGAGAGGGCTCGGGTTATGAGCTCCTGCCACTACTTTTTTTTTTTGTCTTTTTCTGTTGTCCGTACATCTTTACTTGTAAATGTTCCTTGCAAAGAGTCACAGGTCTGCTTCAAGGCTTCCTGTTTCTGCTACACTCATTGATGCCGAGTCCTCCTCTAGGATATCCTGCTGTTGCCCTGTGTCATGGAGATCCTGCAGCTTTGGGTCTGCAGGACCAGCCCCCTTCATGTCATGCTCCAGCAGATCACAGATGGGGTGGATGTTGGGGTGGGTCCATTCATAACCCTGGTTCTTGACCTGGGTAGTTGCAGGGTTGGCCAGCCCACCAGCTCTCCCCACCCGTGTCCGGGGTGAGCTCTCCAGCGTTGCCCCTGCTGATTAACCCTATGCAGTGATGAGCTTGGGGCGGGACCAGTTCTCTGGATTTCATGTCCTCAGGTCAGCTCTTTCACACCTTTGCCATCAGGGCCACCTCTGCTGTGTTGCCCAGGCGAGGTGCAGGGGCCACTCTCATGTTCTGCTCTCATGAGCTCAGGCCAGCCCTCCCGTCTGCTTCAGGTGGCAAGTGTGTGTGCGGGTGTGTCTCCATGTGCATGCCACCATATGACAGATGAGGGACAGTGCCCGATTTTCCAAGCTCACAGCTTTTGGCTGGGTCCCCCCACCCCCCAACAGGGACAGCTCTACTGTAGTTAGGGCCTGCTTGCCCAACTGCTGTAGCTGGTAAAGGAGAGGGCTTGTTGCTTTGCCTGCCATGGGTGAGGGGAGGACTTGCTAGTCCTTGGTTTTGTAGGACCCAGATGGCTACCTATTACTTGAGTTCCAGGGGATCTAACACCCTCTTTTGGCCTCTGAGTGCATTGAGCATATATGTGGTACCTGTACATAATGTAGGTGAAACACTCACTCACATAAAGTAAACAAACAAACAAATAAATTGTGGTGGTTTGCATAAGTATGGCCCCATAGACTCATATGTTTGAATGCTTGGTCCATAGGGAGTGGCACCATCAGGAGGCGTGGCTTTGTTGGAGGAAGTGTGTCACTGTGGGGGTGGGCTCTGAGGTCTCCAGTATGGCACACAGTCTCTTTCTGCTGCTTGAGGATTGAGACGTAGGACTCTCGGCTCCCTCTGCAGCACCATGTTTCCCACTGTGATGACAGTGGGCTGCACCTCTGAACTATAAGCCAGCCCCAGTTAAATGATTCCCTTTACAACAGCTGCTGTGGTCATGGTGCCTTTTAACAACATAAAAATCCTAACAGACAAACCAAACAAAACCAAAAGTAAAATCAAAAACTCCAGAAAAGGCAAAAACCCAAACAAACCAAAACCAAAACCCAATGCCAAACTCAGAAAGCAGAGTGCCTGGAAGTCTTTCTAACAGAGTTGCACTGGCACAGTACCAGTGGGATTGTGTTGATGAAGCATGTTGACCCGGAATTACAATATTTTCTAGGTGTGCATTTGAGGGAAGTCATGCGCTGTTATGCTTTCCATGCTTGGGCTTCTCAGTTCTGAGTGGTGTCCGTTTCATCCCTGTTCCTGCATGTGACAGGATTTCATGCTTCGCAAAGGTGTTGTCTTCAGTGTGCAGTCTCTTTCCTTTATCTGTCCATCAGTTGACGGATGCTGCTCATTGATAACTGAGTGTAGTGCTGTAAGAAATGAAATGCAGAGTATCGATCTTGTTTCCCTTGTGTGTGTACAGTCGTGGGGTTGCTGGACCATGTATGCTAAGACCCTTTGTCGCTATATTCTCTATAAACAGATAGCAAAGAGGGGAGTGGTAGTGGTTCCTGATCTGGGTTCATTTGCCGGAACACGGCTTGGTTTTTAAATTGAGATCACTTTTACCTGTTATCTTTTAGAAATTAAAAATAAAATCCTAGCTGCATCTGATAGAGCAAAACACTGAAAGAATATTCTAAGTGTGACTTTATTGTATTTGTGTAAGTATAAAATACCAGAATGCTGTGTCCTACACAAACTCAGTTTAGTTACAGTGAACATATATTCAAAGTAGAGGTTGGATTGATGGTAGGCTCTTTGTGACACACAGGGATGTCCACCTTAAGTAAGACTATCTCATACTTCATGCCTGGGCTAATAAAAATGATTGTCTGGTCGTATGTAATATTTTCCTAATACTGAGAGACACCCTGCTATATGTTGGAGAGACTTTGGTTTGATTCTCTTTCGGTTTTATTACCAAAATTATTGAGGAAATCACTTAAGCTTTACTTCTCTTTCCTTATAACCGAGTAACTACTTAAAAGATTATAAAGATACACTAAGAAAAAAAAGTGTCGTAAGTACACAGTACAGTGTCAGAAAGGTGCTTAATAGATCTTTTCAAATTTTTATTTTAAATTACATTTTATTGAGTGTGTGTGTGTGTGTGTGTGTGTGTGCACGCGCGCACGAGCGTATACATGTTCTTATGCTTGCCACAGCATGCAAGTGGAGGTCTAGGGCAGCCTGTGGGACTAGCTTCTCTCATCTGTGGGTTCTGGGAGATTGAACTCAAATCATCTGAGTTGGCTGTAGACTCCTTTACTGCTGAGCCACTCAACATGCCTGATACATCTTACCTTTCTTTTCTAAGGTTTGTCTTAATTATTTTGTGTGTGTCTCTGTGTTAGTATGTGACTAGGTGTATGTGTGTGTGTCTCTCTGTTAGTATGTGATTATGTGTATGTGTCTCTGTGTTAGTATGTGACTATGTGACTGTGTATGTGTCTCTGTGTTAGTATATGAATATGTATATGTATGTGGGTGCCTGCAGGAGCCCCCATACGTTGGATCTTCTGGAGCTGGAATTATAGGCAGTTGTTGTGAGCAGTTTGAAATGGGTGCTGGGAACCAAATTTGGATCCTCTGAAAGAGTAGCAAGCATTCCAAACCACTGTACCATCTCTCCAGCCCCCTAGCTTTCATCATTGTGTTTCTGTATTAGATTAGGACCCCTCAGTTGTCAAGGATTGTTTCTCAGTTCCTTGGCCTTACCCCAGGATCTGGCTGTTATGCATAAACTCAGTAGGTATCTGTTGAGGGAATGCAGTTGGATTAATTTTTAGTGCTGGTTTTACAATAATTTTAAGCCCATATTAAAAATTCAGTTTAGAACTACCTTTCTTAGAGATAAGGAAGGGTGTAGTAGACTTTAATCACAAGAACAAGGCTGATGAGCAAATACTGTTTTTACCATTCCTATTTGCCCTGGTCATTTTATTCAATCTATATAAAAGCCCTCCCCCCTTTCACTATATGGGATGACTTTATTGAATTGTGGAAACAATTTGTGTGTGTGTGTGTGAAACCCAGTCAAAACAAAATGTATTTTAACAGCCCGAAAAAGCAGAGGGGGCTCTTCCCCACTCTGAAAATCTATTCCCCAGATCCTAAAGCGTTGGTGTGCAGCAGGTATCTGAGTTCCTGCTGTATGTGAGGCGTGGCGTCGGATGTGGGAGTGTAGCAGTGAAGAAAGCGGTCTGCAGTGTTGTGTAGGCGTCACGCTGTGGTTTGAGTACAACATGGGTTCTGGTGGTACTGGGAACAAGCCAGTGTGCTCCAATCCTGTAACAGTGCTTTGTGTACAGTGTGTACCACTTGGCCATGGTAATAAGTGACTGCTGTTCATTCATGTGTTAACTATACTGTATAGCTTTAATAGTCAGGAGTATATTGCTTCTTGTAAAAATGCTCACTATAAAAATGTAAGCCATGTATGTCTTCTACCATGTTTTCTGATTACCTAATTTTTCTGTGTTGTATTCATCATGAACATAGTAGTGTAAGTTGGTATGTACTACCCATGTAATAGCTATGCCATCTTGGTTTGTTGAAGTACATGCTACAATATTCTTATTATGATGAAATTGCCTAAAATATTTCTTGGAATCTATCTCCTCTATTAAGTGGTTCATGACTGTGTATTGTTGAGTGAAAGCAATAGGGGACCTAAGAGCGTGCATGAAGTAGAGTATGTATGCAATGGTATCTTGTATGCTCGAATGAGGGAAAATGAATAATATTCACATTTGAATAACAGTCTTTCGGAAACTTATAGGAGAGGTCTGTGTCAAGGTGTGTTGCCCAAGCACACGAGGAACACCACTTGGGATGGAACTGTTTGCTTTATACCTTTCGTAGCATTTGATTTTGAAACATCTGGTTTTATTGCTTATTTCATTTTCTGTAAAAGTTTTTAAGGAAAGCATTTTCTTTCTTTTTGTTTTTTCAATTTTCAGTAAGCTAAAAAAGCTGAGTGAAGACAGTCTGACTAAGCAGCCTGAGGAAGTCTTTGATGTGTTGGAGAAGCTTGGAGAAGGGTGAGTATGGAAGCATGAGAGTCCTTTTAAATATTGACCGCCTTGTCTAGTCTTTCAGCGGGAGCTGAATACCGCTGACACCCATTAAATTTGGCAACTAATGTCACATTTTAAAGATCAGATTGTGATAGATATAGTGTCTCTAGAGAAGTAATCTGTGTGTGTGTGTATGTATGTATGAATATGTGCATGGGTCTGTGTGTGTATATATGTGTGTGTCTATGTTTGTGTGTATGAATATGTGTGTGTATTTGTATGTGTATGTGTGTATGAATATGTGTGTGTCTATGTGTGTATGTGTCTGTGTGTATATATGAGTCTGTCTATGTGTGTATGAATATATGTGTGTGTGTATGAATATGTGTATTTGAATGTGTGTGTATTGTGTGTGTCTGTGTGTGTGAGTCTGTGTGTGTGTGTGTGTGTGTGTGTGAAGCAAGAAATGTGCTGTAAAGTGATTTGTGAGAAGTTTGTTCATCTTATGGTGCATTCTCATTAATAAACATTGTAATTTTGGGTTTATTAGGCTAGTGCCTGTTTTAGCACCTTATTTTATTTGGGAAAAGGTCAGTAGAAGCTGTGAATTGTCTGGTGGAAATCAGTGTGTATAGGCAGAAGAATTGTTAACAACACCAGAATAATAATTGAGGGATGTATATCATTTGATCATAGAGAAAGGCAGATAATAAATGTAAAACAGTTAAATTTGTAAGAACATAATACATAATATTGCAAACATAAGATGGGAGGAATAAAATGAGCTATATTGCTCACTGTATGTGAGTTGTCACTTTAAAAGATTAATTCTTCAGAGAAAATTAAAAAGTAAACTAGCTTATATAAGACCATATAAAACAAAACATGGGGTATAGGGATGTTTCCTCTTGAAAAATCATTATCAGAGAGAGTTAAATGTATGAGTCAAACTAAAAAGAAAATGGAAAGGGAAGTTTTTATATCAGGTGAATTAAAGTTAAATGATCCCAATTGGAAAAGAAGTACATTAGATAAGGATAGGAAACAAAAATTATATCAAAACTTTTTTTTGTCACATAGTGTAGTAGCAAACTTTATGATGGAAAATCATTTGCAGAGTCAGTGGACTCTAATAAAAGTGGATATGTGTCTTTATTTGCCTTTTAGAATTGGACAGATATAAAACAGACAGGGATTGAATGTTATTAGTAGACTTGATTATGTATATACTCATATAAAGCATCTATTTTTTATTTATGTGTGCTTATACACACACACATGTATACCTTGCAGTCTTCCGTTTTTGGTTTATGTTCAAAGACAGAAAGAAACTTGACAAATTCTAAGATAGATTTAATTTTTTTTCAATATGTCCCACCCACAGTTTCTACTCCCTCCACTCCTTTCCAGTATTACCCCCCCATTCACTCCTCCTCCGTTTCCCTCTAGGGATATCAACCAAATACCGCATAACAAGATACAAGACTAGGCACAAACACTTATATCCAGGCTGGATGAGGCAACCCAGTAGGAGGAAAAAGGGTCCTAAGAGCAGGTAAAAGAGTCAGAGACACCCCCACTCCTACCGTTAGGAGTCCCCCCAAAACATCCAGCCAACAACCATAGCATTTATGGCAGATCCATGCAGGCTCCGTGATTGCCACTAGGGATGTTTTAGGAGATACAATTTATGTCAATTAACCTCTCAAAGAGAAGACAGGAAGGTAATTAAATATTGATTAAATAGAATAGAAGGCTTTCTTAGTTGCTTTTCTAGTTGTTGTGATAAACTCTTTTACAAAAGCAACTTACAGAAAGAAAGGGTTACCTTGCTGGCTCATAGCTGGAGGGTCCAGCCCTCACTCATAGCTGGAGGAGGGTCCAGCCCTCACTCATAGCTGGAGGAGGGTCCAGCCCTCGCTCATAACTGGAGGGTGCAGCTCTCGCTCATAGCTGGAGGGTCCAGCCGTGGCACAGCCCTCTCTAGTCAGCTCCACATCATGCATGCATACAGGCAGCTTGGCTTGGCAGATGTCCCATGGTTAAGACGTCTCCAGTGCCCTGAGGGCCTCCTTCTGTGGACTCATACCCTGCCACACATTACTCAGCCTCAGCTGCTCTCTAAAACCCTGGAGTAAGTCTCCATGACTCTTCTTACATTCAGATTTGGTGACTGTTTTGGCAAAGTCTTAGCCAGAAACCACTCAGGAGGGGATTCTGGGAAATAGAACTCTAAATTTCTGTTACAGACCCGAGACATCCTTGGAGAGGAGGGTTGGGGCTGCATAATTCGTCTTAGATAATGGAGCACTGAGTCCTACTCCGACTTTGAGGAGAGGCATTGCAGCCTCTTTCCCCAAAGAAAGGTTATCACGTTGAAGGAAGTTGCTTCCGAGAGCCCACGAGGCAGGATGCAGCATCGATTCATTCAGTTAACCAAGTGTCTTCTTGTCTGCGTGTGACACTGCCACTTACTTTGAAAATTGTAAACTTGGGAGTGATTTTTGTGTAGTTTATAATGTCAGGAAACACAGGGAACATTTTACACCTTGTGCTTCCCTGTGGACGCGATGTAGTGGGAAGACCGTGCATGGTCTTTGGAGTCAGAAGAAGATTGGACTTGTCAGTTACTGCGTCTGTATCCTCATCTCTCAGTGATGAGAATCATATTTTTCCTCATAATAGAGAGGAAGAAGTTTGATGATGCTTGTAAAACCCTGTCGTAGTGCTTGGTTTGGAGTTCGTATTAAACCACAGATGACTTCTTCATTGAGTTTGCCCTGTAAAGTACATGAATGTTTAGTCGATAGACACTCAAGAGCCAGAGTAGAGATTAAGTTCTTTGTCTCCTTTTATGAATACCTGTGATATGTGATCTTTCTCTTGAAGAGACCACACTGAAAGAGGCACTTGAGGGGACTTTGGCTGAGGATTCTCTGCTTTCTTACTTTGGTGATAAATGGTCCACAGTGGCTGGGTGACGCAGTGCACATCTGCAATCCCATCGAGATCATCTGTGTCTACATAGTATGTTAAAGGCCAACCCGGGCTACATGAGCCCCTGCCTCAAAAGAAGAAGGTTCACAGTGAATGAAAGGCATTCTGGGACCTTTGCTTGATTCAGCTTTTTCTCTTAACTCGGAACCTAAACTGTTTCTAACCTGACTCTCACGCTTGTGATTTCCTTTTCTGTCTCCTTAAGCTGCATTTGAGTTGACAAACCGTAAGTTAGTCCGCTTGCCTCCTTCTCTCTCCTCCACCTCTTGCTCCCTCCCTCCCATAAGAAAGTGGCAACTCATTATTTTTACATGGTACTTTAAGTTTGTAATTTGTGCAATGAAGCTGCTTCATTAACTTATTATTCCTTTACTTTTGTTTTTGATCATTTACATGATGATCCAAGCTTGAAAATACAGTATGCAAAATATATGTAGAAGTCACAGTAGTCTTTAACACAGTGCTTGATATGAAAAAAATAACGTCTCGGCTTTCCTTTTTAAGGTCTTATGGAAGTGTTTTTAAAGCAATACATAAGGAATCTGGTCAAGTTGTTGCGATTAAGCAAGTACCTGTTGAGTCAGATCTTCAGGAAATAATTAAAGAAATTTCCATAATGCAGCAATGTGACAGGTATGAAAACATTTTATTTCCTTGTGTTCATTTTGATGGCTTTCATGAGGTATATAATAAAATACATGTTTTGTTACCTATGTAAGTTATTTCTTCATGACTTCACGTTGGAAGCAAGACCAGTCCTACAGAATGTCTTCTGGCCTCACAGCTGTTTGCAGAGATGGAGAAGATAAAAAGGGCTGAACACAGGCAGTGGAATAACCAACCTTTCTTCAGGAAAATCTATGGATGCATTTTTGATGTTACGTGGTTCGTTTTAATTCTGTATTACATTTTTTGCTCTTGTTTTTCCATGCAGGGTTTCCTATGTAGCCTAAGGCTGGCCTTGAACTCCCCTGTAGCCTAGACTGGCCTCAAATTTGGGGTCCTTCTGCTTCAGCCTTCTGAGTTATGGAACGATAGACATGTTCTCCTATGGCTGGCATATAATTAATTGCTTTTGTAAATCTGACTCATTCAACAAGCACTCATGAACCATTTCCTACTGGACAAGTGCTGTGTCAGGATCTAGAAATACTAGGGAAACTAAGATTTGCTTTCCTTCCGAGGGGCTGAGGCCTAGTTGGGAGGACCAAAACATGAAGGAAGAGCTCTACCTGAGTGTAGTTAGTGCTGACTGGTCCCTGTCCCTGGAGTGATAATGAAAACAAGGAGGCGGGGCCCCTTTCTCAGCCAGGGTGATTGGAAGTCCCGAATGCTGAGGAAGCCTTAACTTGGTGGAAAAATGGAGGGCTAAAAGAGTTAAGTCTTAAACAGAGAGGTGAAAAAACAGTTCTCTGGTTAGGGCTCATCCGACAGTGTTTAGAACTACTGTAGTGGAAAGCTTGAGCCAGGGGTTGGTGGGAAATGTGATTGGAGAGGTAAAAGTAGCTGAAGAGGAAGGTTCTGTGTGCTGTGTGAAATAGCCTGGGCTTGCGAGGACGCAGAGGGCGTAAATAGCAGTGCGTTTAGCCTGTTGTGAGTCAGCTAAGGGGACTGCACTTGTCCTTTGCCAGAGGTTTGAAGGTGGGGCAGCAGCTGCCGCCACCACCTAGTGACGCCTGTGTTCCAGGCTATGTTTCCTACTTTCTCATCACTAGCCTACGGTACCTATTTCATGGGTGTAGGAGGTGTGGGGTGTGAATGAGAAATGTCCCCCACAGGCTCATCCCCCGTAGGCTCATGCTTTTGAACGTGTGGTCTCCAGGTTGGAGGGATACAGAAGTTGTAGGCATTGGAGCCTTGCTGGAGGAAGTGTGTCACCAGGGTTCTGGTTCCAGGTTACACCATACCCAGTCTCCTGTCCTTTCCCTGCTCCCTGTGTGTGGATGAAAATGAGATCTGCCAGCTTCCTGCTGCTACCGCCACGCCTTCCCAGCTTTGATGGACCCCATTAGAGCCATAGGCCAAAATGGATCCTTCCTGCTCAAGTGCTTCTGTTTAGTGTTTTAACCACAAATCTGAGCACCGTGCCTGTTAGTTTTTTGTTCGTTAGTATTTTGATGACAGTTAATTCTTACACATCTTCTGTCTGAAGTGCCATTATCTTTTTATTTTTCTTGATTTCTTGGATAGAAGAATCATAAAATACTAAAAAGACAAGTATAATAGTGAAGTTGGAAAAGGATAGTTAAATATGCAACTGCTAGTTATTAATGTAGGTGAATGATTGAAAAATTGACAAAAATGATTTAGAAGAAAATTAATAAAATAGAAAAATTCACACATCTGGAATTTTGACCACACAAAATGAGATGAGTACTTTTCTGGAATTTAAATATTTTCTTAGTTTATTCATGGATTGGGCAGTTGGCAAATTATCTTGCTTTCTGAACTTGCGAGAGTCGTATTGAATGCTTTGAACTTTTAGTGAGTGTTAGACATGTCCTGAGTAGTGTGTTCAGGGAGCCTGCGTCGTTGACTGCTGAATCATCTCTTTCTATCCCAGTGACTTGCATGATAACACATGTTTGTAGACTATAGAATGTAGACTCTCTTTAGTGTTTTTCCTCTTATACTGTTCTAAAAAGGTGCTTATAGGAGCCAGTTTAGTTTTCAAATAGTGAAAAAAATTTCAGAATTAAAACATTATCACTGATTTTCTCTTTTTTATACTGGGACTTATTGTTAAATTTTATATTAGCTTCTGGTGCCAAAACATACATAAAGACAACTTCATGGGTACAAGACACCTAGAGATTTCACATGAATTATCTTTGGCCACACAGCCACCTCAGAACCAGGATGAGAACCCATATTTACTGACTCTAGATCTAGTGTTGAAGAAAACAATGCCTATAAAAATTTCTGAGCAGCTGAGGGTGACAGGACTTTCCTAGGAGTAGAGACAAGAGCTGGACAACAATACTGCAGGTTTCCTGCACTTGACAGGCATGTGCTCTTCGTGTAAACTTTCTGTGTCTAGGTAATGTGAGTAAAAGGGAACTACACTTGAGACACTTGTACTCCATGTAAACACATAAAAATATGTTCTGAAGCAGGGACAACAGGATTCACTTACTTAGCCATGTACCTAATGTATTGTTAGTGCCTGTTCCTAACTATGCCTCTCAGGTGCTGTTCACAAGCGATCTGATGACGACCCCAGGGATTTAGAGGGACTTTCGGTCAGACAGAAGAGGGAAATGGACAGCCGGGCTGTTTCAGTATAGTCTGCTAGGAGCTGCAGTGTGGTCAATAAAGGAGCCTACGAAGAGCTTCCCCGGGGAGGTCACAGCATGCTGAAGGGTGGCTTAGGTTTGATGACAAAGGAGAGGTGTGCAAAGAGGTCATTTTCAGCCGGCCTGTGCCGAGTGTTTCTGAGGCAGGGTGGGATAAACAGTGAACATACTATCGAAAGGGTTAGTGATGGATGTTTGCAGTTTGCATCAGCTCAGTTTTGGGTGGGCCACAGGGAGGAAGAGAGTTTATTTTGAGTTACTGTGGCCTAGGAACCCCCATTTAGGTTGTCCGGAATGACATGTTCCTCTGTGCAAGTGGTTCCTAAGGCTCAGGCCCTCGGCCCCCAGGTTCTCCCCCCACAAATACTTTAGAGCTTCTGTACTTAGGGGCTACCTTGGAATTTGAATTTATTTTGTTCTTTCATAGAAACCGTTTTTTCATGTAAATACATTTTAATGACTTTTGGACATCTTCATCCCACCTCTCCCCAACAAGCCACGCCCCTTTCCTACTTTAGTACCTTTTTATATGATCCACTAAGTTTAATTAGAATTGTTGTGTGAGCATGGGGTAGGGGTTGAGCTAGGAACAATTTTATTTGAGGAAATGGTAAATATAAAATAATAATCAGTTCTTTTTTTTTTTTTTTTTGGTTTTTACGAGACAGAGTTTCTCTGTATTGTTTTGGAGGCTGTCGGTCCAGCCTGGCCTGGAACTCACAGAGCTCCGCCTGCCTCTGCCTCCCGAGTGCTGGGATTAAAGGCTTGCGCCACCACCGCCCGGCAGTAATCAGTTCATTTAACAATATCCCACTTGAGTGTGTGTCTTTGATGTGACTTGTTGTGGTTGTGTAGACACTTTCCTAGATTAATTTTCTTGAGTGTGTTTTATGATACACAGTTGTTGAAACCTGATTTATCTGATTTTGTATTAGTGTGGGCCACGAGTTACTATTTTGAAAACAGTTTTATCCCCAACGTGTTCTTTTGACTCACTCTCATGAGAGGCCTGGGGAATGGATTGCCTGCTTTTCAGGTGGCTGCCTTAGGCTGTCTAATTGTCATAAGAGATGTCAGCCCTACCCTTGGCGCCACTGTCTGTGTACTGTGTGTGACAAGATAATGCCACACAGTGTGCGTGTGCTTTACAGCAGACACCACCTTTTGTCTCAGTATTGTGAGTGACCTCAAACTCACCGTGGAAGCCAGACTGATCTGGAAGTCCCACGCCACCTACCCTAACTTCCCAATGCAGGGATGAAGGGCACGCACTGCCACTCCTGGCTAGTGAAGATGCTCTTGGGTATCCTGTAGCTAACAGTATTCTAAATTATGAATGAGAATATTAGCATTCTGTTTGGCTCTCTCCCTAACCTCATTCTGCCCAGCTATTGGCCAGTCAGCTTCTGTATTTAGCCAATCACAGCAACATATACAGTGTGAAGGAATGCACCTCAGATAAGATATTTTATATACAGTGTATGTAGTGTAACTTAAATAACCAACAATTGTAATATTGTTTGATTCTAAGTTTTGTGTAAACAACGGGTATAAACACTACTTATTGATCTGTGGAAGATTTGAACGGTCAGTTCAGAAATACTGTGAATTGTTAATGATATCGATTGAATATATGCTGTTTGTGTAAATAATTTTTTTCCTCAAGAACAGTATGAAGAACAGCATGAAAGAAAAATATCCTACCTGGCTTCATTGAAATGTGCATCATTTTGAAGTTGAGCATTAATACTTAATGAAAAATCATTTAGAACAGTTACATTTAAAAGGTTTTTGTTAAAGGAAAATACCTCCATTTGTTTCTAATATTAAATAGTAAATGTCTTGCCAACATGAGGCATTGTTTTTGTTGGGAATCACTCAAAACACTTGGGCCTCCTCTGGCTTGTAACCCTGTTAAATTCTCATCCATGAAGTGAACCTAATTATACACAGTTGCCGAGCTATAGCTGCAGACGATTCAGTGTAAATAGAAGTTACCTCATTAAACTCATTTGTTGAAACATGACATGTTGGGAATCCGTTACATTAGGTTAAGGAAAATTTTCTTTGCAAATGGACTGAGCGTGAGTGTGTCTTTCTTCAGCCCCTATGTGGTGAAGTACTATGGCAGCTACTTCAAGAACACAGACCTCTGGATCGTCATGGAGTACTGTGGCGCTGGCTCCGTGTCAGACATCATCAGGTTACGAAACAAGACGGTAAGTATTCAGAACTGACTCCTTGATCACATTTTAAAGTCCCACTGCAGAATCTGACGAGCATTTTGTTACACAGAAACCGTGCGTGTGAAAACGGAGGGTACAATAGCCTTTCATCTTTCTAAGGCAGCTTGAGTCACCAGATGGCTTCTCAGGTGCTAGGGAACCGTCCTCTGAGAGTCTGTATACACTTAGTGACCTAAATTCAGTACATGATGGCTGGAATTCTATTTAAATTTCATGACGTTCATCACATTTCCTCCTCTTAATTTTTCTGTATTACCATTTATAACTGGTAAATAGTTGAAGTTACATTTTCTGAATTTTTGACAATAATTGAATTTTTTTTGTTTCTCGAATGTCCACTAGATATGAAAATGAAAGTGTTAGATTACATACACACACAGACACACACACACACATAGACACACACACACAGACACAGACACACACACACACAGACACACACACACAGACACACACACACAGACACACACACACAAAGACACACAGACACGTGAAGTGAGTTTAGTGAAGTGTACTACTTAATAAAGCTTTTATGGCTATGTTGTGACCTAACATTGAAGGCTCAGTGACTTTTTAATGTGAGTGGTGAAGAAGAATTATCAGTGAAATGATTTGTAATTCTGTAGAACAGTAATTCAGCCTCTATGTGACGTTACTATATGCTGTCAAACATGTCTTGGTAAAATAAATTCAGAAAAAGTGCATAACTATTTGAATCAATTTGTGGTTAACCAGAGTCATTTTAAAGTTTTGATTGGTGAAATGCTTAGACATTTATTGTCATTTTTTTTCCTGTGGAGAAAATAAAAAAAATAAGATTTCTTTAAAAGGAAATGGAATGGAAGTTTAAATAATCCCTGTTTTGACAGAAGATTAAATCATCTGTGACATTTTAATTACGTATCTTCGAGTTTCTATTGTTCCTAACTAGCGTTTATGTAAATCAGATGATTCTTGAAAGGAAGGACAATTGAAAATAATCACACCCAAGTTACAGGGGTTTCATAAAAATCATTCCAGGGCTAGCCTCACTCCAGGAGTGTCATAAAGTCATTCCAGGGCTAGCCTCACTCCGTGTAGTACTTATAATGATCAAATAAGACTTGGAGTAGAAACGTGACAAGATTTTAAATGTCTATTTTCATGGTTTTAAAATATTAATGTTACTATTTTGAGTACAGAGTAGGCAGTTGATTCAGGAAGTTTCTTTCTTGTACCAATAATTATGAACTGTGAAAGTGCAGTTCTTTTTTTTTTTTTGTTATTCGATTCAGGGTTTCTCTGTATTGTTTTGGAGGCTGTCCTGGAACTCACTCTGTAGACCAGGCTGGCCTTGTACTCACAGAAATCTGCCTGTCTCTGCCTCCTGAATGCTGGGGTTAAAGGTGTGCACCACCAACGAACACATGGCTAATTTTAGAAGTTATAATCTTGACACAAAAAGTTCATACCTTGTATTTTGGGTCTGATGTTAGTGTAGATTTCATATATACTGGTTTATTCAGTTGACCATGTCACACACGTTTGTCTGTGATGCCCTTGAAATGGCTTTTCCTATGTTTATACTCATGAAAATGAATTCATGTATGCACGTGGATACTAAAACTTCGTTACAGCTTTAATCTTTAGGAAGCTGGAGACTAATCTGAAAGCGGAATTCCCTACTCCTGTGGTTATCTAGAATGTGAATAAAAACAGTGAAATGTGTGTGGAGAAGCCGTCGTGGTGGTGTTCACACGAGTCACAGATGAGTGAGCTCTGGTGCTCAGCTTTGGTGTGTTCTGATTTAAGCTGACGTTCACGCGGCTGTTTATGTGCTGTAGATTGCAGCCATTTCAGTAGTAATCTTCCTCAGAGGAGTAGGTAGGTTAGCTCCTCTGTTACATGTTTCTTCACCTTGACTGACGTCATGTATGTCAAGTCTGCTATAAAGAAGAAACATATAAGTATGGAACAGTAATAACTAGTAGAAGAAGAGGTCATGAGTTTGAGAATTTGAGAGGGAGCTGGGGAGAGACATAAGAGGAGCTGGAGCGGGGAGTGGGCTGGGTGGATGATGTAAATACAGCTTTCATCTATGAGGTTCTCAAAACAATACATTTTGCTTTAAACAGAAGAAAATAGAACTAAGTGGTCGTTCAGCAAGTTGGCAATAGAGCTTGTGGTTTTGTTGTTGCTTATCTGCACACCAGTGACTTTTGAGGTCTAATGTGTTTCCTGGCATTGTGCTTGTTTTTGGAATTGAAATTATTGTTTTAAAGTTTTGATCAAGTATTTCTTTGAAAATTTAAAAATAAAGCATAAGAAAAAGCAACCTGACTTAAGTTACATGCCTTCTGAGAAACGTTTGAGTTCATGTTCCTCTGGCCTGTAGGTGGCACAGGCTAGACCCCTCCTGCCTTACAGCTTGCGTCTGCTCTGCCATAGACTCTAGTCTACTACTGTGCAAGTAAGAACAGGTTGGCAGGACGGAGAACAAACTCACCTTTAGCTCCTTGGAGTCTCAGTTTCCTGACTTGGTGAATATTTCTCTTTTCCTGTTCTTATAGTTCTACCATGTGTAGGAAGCTGAGGCAGGAGAATTCTGAATTTAAGGTCAGGCTGAGATACATATCAGGGCCATCAAAAGCCAATCAACCAAACAACCACAAAACATTATGTCTTATTTGAAATTAATCTTTATTCCCTAAGCAATTTGTGTCTGTATAGCAATCCATTGATTAATTGTATTAAATCTTGTAGCACAGCGATTCTCAACCTTCCTAATGCTGTGACCCTTTAATACAGTTCCTTATGATGTGGTGACCCAACCATAAAATGGTTTTCATTAGTGCTACATAACTGTAGTTTTGCTGCTGTTCTGAATTGTAAATATGTGATATGCTGGATATCTGATATGTGACCCCTAAAGGAGTTGCACCCCACAGGTTGAGAACTGCTGTGTTAGCATAGTTGCTCTGGAAGGAGCACAGTGAATGACAACTGCTATTACAGTTTTACTTTTTGTTTTGAAATTTATTTATTTATTTATTCGTTGTATAGTGTTCTCCCTGCATGTCTGCCTGTACTGCATACTAGAAGAGGGCACCAGATCTCATTACAGATGTCGTGAGCCACCGTGTGGGTGCTGGGAATTGAACTCAGGACCTCTGGAAGAGCAGCCAGTGCTCTTGCCTCGGAGCCATGGCTCCAGCCCCACGTTTTCACCGCTATCTGGTCTGCTTTGGTTAACAGACCAGCCGCGTCTCATTTAGATGCTTTTGTGCCGTCCTTTGCCTTTGCTGTTCTTCTTGGCCTTTTGATCTCTTTACATGGCCTGTCTGACAGTTTGTGTCAAAACCTTTAAAAAAGTTACAAGTTACCTCATGTGAGCATAGATACTACAAGAGTCTTCAAAACCTTGTTGCACCCTTTCTTTGGTCAACATCCAGAGAAGATGAAAGCATAGGATGAGGCTTGCTGTTAATTAGGTGTGCCCTGTGACTACAGCTGGGGGTGAGTTGTACAGGGGGGAACCGTCAGTTTCAGTGTTGATCCCGACAAATGCAGACCATTTCGTCAGATGGCAGTGAAGGTGCCTGTGTCTTGACACATGGAGGAAGGTCTGTACCTCAGAGGGCTGTGTCATGATATGTGGAGGAAGGGCTGTATCTCAGAGGCTGCCCTGAACTTGGAAGCATTCTAAGACGTTCCCAGGGTCATCCTCTCAGCTCTAGGCTCAGCTTTGTTGTAGATACTTGTTTTCATTCAACCCATGATAGACATACATATATACATACATATACACATATAGACAGACATGCATACACATACTTATACATACACATACGTATATATACAGACACATACATATACACATATACACACACATACATATATACATACACACATATGCATACATATATACATACATATACACATATAGACAGACATGCATACACATACTTATACATACACATACATATATATATACATACACATACATATACACATATACACACACATACATATATACATACACACATATGCATACATATGTACATACATATACACATACGCATGCGTACACATAATCATTCACATATGTATACACATATACAGACACATACATATACACATATACACACATACATATATACATACACACATATGCATACATATATACATACATATACACATATAGACAGACATGCATACACATACTTATACATACACATACATATATATATACATACACATACATATACACATATACACACATACATATATACATATACACATATGCATACATATATACATACATATACACATACGCATGCGTACACATAATCATTCACATATGTATACATATATACATACACATACATATGCATACATATACATACTTACATGTATGTATACACACATATACATATATACATACACACATATGCATACATATATACATACATATACACATACGCATGCGTACACATAATCATTCACATATGTATACATATATACATACACATACATATGCATACATATACATACTTACATGTATGTATACACACATATACATATATACATACACACATATGCATACATATATACATACATATACACATACGCATACGTACACATAATCATTCACATATGTATACACATATACATACACATACATATGCATACTTACATGTATGTATACACACATATACATATATACATATACACATATGCATACATATGTACATACATATACACATACGCATGCGTACACATAATCATTCACATATGTATACATATATACATACACATACATATGCATACATATACATACTTACATGTATGTGTACACACATATACATATATACATACACACATATGCATACATATATACATACATATACACATACACATACGTACACATAATCATTCACATATGTATACACATATACATACACATACATATGCATACTTACATGTATGTATAC